GAATCGATCCCTAGAAGATTTGCAACATAACCACTCATCGGAACTTTGACTACAATGAATTAATATAATATTGACAAATAATATTTTTCAAACTCGAAATATTACCCCTCTTTTGAATGCACTTGGAGTGTGCGACTTGGAGTGTGCGAGCTTGTGTTCAATTAACTTAATACCTAATTAACAGCATGACTAAAGCACTCCACAATTAAAATAATCAAAACACAACACTTTGCTGAAGCCACATTTGTTGTCTATAATGTATGAATCTGACGTTATTTAGTGGCCAAAGATAGATTATTGTATAATAAATATATTGATATATTTATAAGTAATGTATAACTAAATTTATACATATAATGTATCTCATATTTTTTCCCCATACTAATTATAAGCAAAATAAGAATATTCAATTTGACTTAAATGAAAATAGGTGCTTTCAAAACATTAAAGCACTAACAATTTAGTTAAATTACTTTTTATATCTTTTCTAAACCCAAAAGAAATGGAACATGAAGTTATTCTGACGAATCCATTGCAAAAAATTCTTGGTTATTTTTTGCGGTCGTTAAAAAATAAAAGTTAATATAGTTAAATTTATAAAAAATTTTATTTTTTAATTTTATCCTTGATTAAAAATTAATGATGACAATAAAATTTATTTATAAAATAAAACTTTGCCAACAACTCAGTGTAACTACAATAATAACGAAAAAATTACTCCCTCCTGCCTTTGACATAGGATACTTTTCAGAAAAATTTTTTTTTCCTTAATATTAAGTATTTGATGGGGTGTTAATTATATTTTTTTAATGTTATTTCTATTTAAACTCATAAATTATGAGAGATAATGTAATACAAATTTAAATTTTTTTATTTAAATAGGATAAAATTAAAAATTTATTTTATTTTTAGACAAAGTTAATAACTTAACCATATCTTGTTAGTTTTTTTGGTGAGGTAGTTAGAAGCATCTTATAATAAGAATTGGAGAGAATAACTATTATACTCTTTCTAGTCCTTGTTATAGGGCAGGCAACTTCTTGAAGAATTTTTTTTATTATTAATATAAGATGCTTGATGAATTATTAATTAAAAGTGTTTTCAATATTACACACTCAATGAGAGAAAAAGCAACTACGTAAATTTAAAATTTTTTTACTTAAATAAAAATAAATTTAAAAATTTATTTTATTTTTAAATAAAATTAATAACTTAATTATCTTTTACTAGGTATTATGAGTTAGTTAAAGATGTTAAGGACATGAGGGAATCTTTAATTTTATTTTCAATAAAATTAATAACTTAATTACCTTTCACTAATTATTGTGAGTTAGTTAAAGATGCTAAGGACATGAGGGATATAATTTATACTATATGTATGATTAAATAAAAATTTAAATGTTTTTCTTATAATTAGGACCTCACGAAATATGGACAGATTGAGTTGAAAATTAATACTACCTTCATTTTAAATTATAAAGCACTTTTAAAAAAGTTTCTCTATCTAAAATTTAAAACACTTTGAGTAAATTAAAACTTCATTAAATGTAATAATTTTAATATTACCCTTTTTTTTATAATTAATTTTGATCTTTTTTTTAATATATTAATATATTAAATTATGAGTATTTTTAAAAGTTGATATTTTTATTTTAAAAATGTAAAATTATTAACATATTTAATTAAGTTTATTGATATGTAAGATTTTATTTAAAAATATTTTATAATTTAAAATGAAGGGAGTACGTATTTTTATTTTTTATTTTGAAGTGCGTTTAAGGTACACCTAGATTTTATTTCCGCTGACTAGCTGGCTGGTATAGTCAATTATTAGGACAACCACTTTTCAGTTATCGAAGCAAAACCAACACAAATTAATTAAATAGTACAAAATAATACTCCAATAAGTCTCTACTATTAGCTACACGTCCAAGCAGCCTTAAAAGTTTTTTGAATTGACTGATCACTAGCCTCGACAAAAAAGTTTTTTTTTTTAAAAAAAAATAAAACACAACTGATCATATAAAATGAGCAACCAGGTTCATGAAGGTGGATTAGGCATAGACTAATCATCAAATACTTTTCTTTCGACAGTCTTGTATCATGTTCACACAAGGGGCTTAAAAAGTTTGTAAATTAATTAATATTAAATTTTTTATATTAAGTATATTTAAGAATAATATACTCTATCAAAATAACTTACTTAAAGTTATTTAATTATATGCTTTTTAAATTTATATATTTAAAATTTATCTTCTATTCTTTAGATGTAAAAGAGTTTTAATTAAAAAATCGATTACTATTGGTGGGAAAGGGATAAGAATTCGAACATTCTAAAAAAGTTAATTATTTTATAGCGTTTGAATGGACAAAATCATATAAAATTGCATCGGAACGTGAAAGTTTTTTGTTTTTTTTTTTAAAAACTAGATTGCATTAACTAGTTGGATGGATATATAAATGAATAAATCGATCTTTAAGAAAGGAAAAGTGAAAAAAAAAATAATGGTCAAAGCTCGGCGGATGAATATGAATAAAATATTTTTCTATTTGTCTTTAACGAACGACAAGTATTTTCATATGGCACCACTGCACATAATCACTTGCGTACTCATCCAGTAAAGTGATTTACAAGCTGTAATGATATAGTAATTAAGAGTGTTTGAATATTATCAAATAACTTGAAGAGCAGATTTAGAATATTTTTAAATCCAATAATCTCAAATGTACATTTGAGTATTTGCTTTCAAGGGTGCTCACATCCATTTCAACCATGCTATAAAAATAACCGCTTTTCTCATCATCAACTGGATATCGAAATAAGTTGAAAATATTTTTTTTAAACAATCCATCAGTTTAAGCTTAATCAATTTTTTTTTGTTAATTTTAAACAGATAGGCCCTGTTTGTTATTAAATAAATATTTATTTATGTTTATGTTTATGTATAGCCGTTATATCGTAAGGAAAAGGATACAGTGGAAAGTTTAAGCACCGGCCTTTTTCTTATTTGAAAGTCCTGTATGTGAACTGCCAGCAGGAAGCAAATTATAACCGTTAACTATTGCATGAATAAGTAACTTTATGCACGATTAAAAAAGGTAACAAATTAAAGCATGTGCTTAAAATTAAAAAAAATAAAAAATAAAGAGTGAAGCACTTTGACACATTCTTTTTATTTTATGAGCCCCTTCGGATTTCAATTGGATATAATTAATTATAAAAATAATTAATTAAATATTTTATTTTAATCATAATTGATTATATTATAAAGCAATCTATTTAGATATTATTTTTAACAAAAATGAAGATGTTTTGATAATCTAATTAGAATCAATTTTAGTTATGTAAATTATTATAAAGGACATTAGTTTTTTAAAATTAAATTATTGATAAATTTGCATATAATATTATTAAATTTGTTCAATTTTATTTAAGAAATAAATATATTATTTAAATTACATATCTAATTAATTAAAAAATATAAATTATATTAATATTAACATTTTAATTTATATAAATAAATAACTCAATATATCTTAGTTAAAATAAATTTAATAAAAAAGAAAGATTTAATTCTTAAATACCAAACATCAATTTTACAATAACTAATAAAGATGATAATATACAAGTTGATTTTTAATGGCATCACAATATGAGTCATAATTGATGAAGAAGATGTTATGGATGATGGTAAGGATAAATATTCATTAATGTGATGGTTTTCCTCATCCTTATGCTCTATTTGATCTTTCCTTTCATGATGCGTAAAATTAAAATCACAATTAGATTGTCTTTTAATGAAATTATATATCATCATTGATGTGACAATAATCTGAACTTGTGTATCATAGTCGTAGTTTAGCATATTGCATAAAATTGCAAACCTGTTCTTCCAAACTTCAAATGTTCTTTTTATTGTGCACTGTAAACTTGAATAATAATAATAATTAAAGACCACATTATTATTTATAAATCCAGTTAATATTTTAAAATAAAAAAGATGATAGCATTCCTATCTATATTGACTAAGATATTCATTTGGTGTTGGATAGTCGACATCTACCAAATAATATTTATCTTGTAAAAAAGAGATTATTATCAATATTTGTAAGTTAAAAAGTCTAACATAAATAAATTGAACAAACAAATATACCTAAAGTCGGATGTTAAAACTTCATTGATCGAGTTGTCAAAGCATGTTCAAAAATACGAGCATCATGTGCAATACTCTCCCATCTAGCCAAAACAAAAGTAAATCACATGTCTCATTCACATACAGCCATTGTTACATTTTGCATTGGGATTTCTTTTCTTTTAATATATTTTGATTTTTCATTGGTAGGGACTACATATGGAATATGTGTATATACCATTAATTGCTCCAATTGCAATTTTGAAAAATGGCCAATATCGCTTATCATTTTGTATTTTATTTGATACATGATGAAATGACCCGTCTTGTGGTTTGATATATTCCATTGCAATTTTTGAGCAAGCCATTAAAACTTTATGAAAATGTCTGTAAATAGTCTCTCTTAAGTGTTAAAATCTTTCTTGTGCCATCCTGTTTCCTAACCCATGTTCAATTGTATTTAAAAATATTGCAACCAATTTCCTATACTCTCATTCGTCTAGTATCCTTCAATCTACGCCGTATCAATTCACTGCATAATTGATGAAACACATGTGGTTTTATTCTAAATAGTTTATAACAACGAATTAGGTGTGCTTCGAAGATTTTATTTACCCACAAATGACCTATATATTCACTATTTCTTTGTGGCTCTTTACACAAATGTTTTACTATATAGCCAAATCAAACCACTAACTTTTTGGGCTTTCTCTAATCTTTTTTATATAACTCTTCCATACTCTTTTCCTACCTGTAACTAAATACATAAATAACATGTGCACTTAATTTCAATTATAGATATATCTATATAATTTACCTATGCAAATATTAATAACTTTTCCACAACATTATAATACTTCAACAGCATATATAAAAAGGGCATAAATAGTTCAAAGAGTTACATAAGTCAAATTCAACAATGTAATACAAATATGTTAGACTAATCTTCAAATAAGATAATATGTTCATAACAAGTTTTAAAACCCTCATAATCAACCACTTTTATAACACTCATATCTCAACCAGTCCAAAACACCATCTCTATCATCCTTCATGGTCAAAAACACGACCTTGTCCTCTTAGGATATGAAGAGTGACATACATCGTGAAACCCAATATTTGTTAGCTACAACTTCTTTTCATTGTTTGACTATAAACATGACTTGAGGAATTGATGTTTCCTTGGCTTGTTCAGATTCTTCCTTTATTGTTTGAGCTATCACACTCATTGCACCTGCTATTTGACTTGTACTAGGTGCCTTTTTCTTTTCCTACTGCTAGGCTTTCATCCTTCTTTCTCTACCACTGCCTCCACTTAAGGCTCCTTGAAAAGTACTTAGAACTATTTTATTGCATTCACTGCTTACTCTAATAGTAGCTCCTAAAATCTCATCACTATCTCCTGAACCTTCGTCCAAATCAATGCCCTCAGTTGCCATACTTGGGTGATATACATCTTCGTCCTCACCTTCATTCCTATTGTAAGAATTAGACAAGCTCCACTTGAAGATTCCCATACTTTAGGTCCACTGGCGGTGGTACCTTGAACAACTTGGTTAATTCATTGGCAAAGAGTAATCCTTTATTTTTGATTTTTTGTATAATGAATTTTATGCATACATTATCAATAATATTACAGAATACCAAATAAATAGAAAAATCACATAATAACATCATAGCAATATCTTTTTCTCCACAGTCATTCGAAGCATCCATCATATTGTTGTGTAATCTCATCCCAATCCTATCTCATTTGAAACCAAGTATCTCAAGACACCCACTCTTTTCTCATATTATTTCATTTATTCTTGAGTCGTTGTTTGCCCTATTTCTTTCCAGTCTTCTCATTAAAGCTAGGAATTATATGTTAGCATCATACTTTGGTAAAGTTACCACCACGTCTTTGCAAATTTCACACTTATTCTACACATATGTCAATAAATATTCTAGTATTTCTCCGTCCCATAAAGCTTTCGACTATCATTATTCATTATGCTATATAAAATTAATTGTATGAGAATATAAAATCAATTATAGCTCTAGATTTAAACTTGAATATATTGATGACTGTAAATCATAACTTCACAAGTACCTAAAGACCGACAGGAGGACCTACCAAATAGATGATACCAATGTGTTCATAGACTCTAACTTCTTCATATTGCTGAAAACAGGTAGAGTGAAATGATGTTTAACTCCATGTCAATTTTATATGCTTAAGAGCAAAAGAGCAAACATAAAAGACACCAGAAAATCATCATTCACCTCACAATTTGGTTTTTCAAAATAACTTGGACGCTGATCATTCAATTCTAAACATATAAATGGGCGTAAAGGAAATATTGCATCTGCCAAGGGGAAAAAATGCCTAGCAAACGAGGTCCAAGTTTAACTGATCCAAACAACGTAATTGGCAATCAACTGATGCCACCTTGGATTCAAAAATAAGAACTTGGTGTCTAAGCGGAATACAAACAAACTCAAAAATCGAAGGGCCAAAGTAATATTAAGAGCCTCGCAAGTGAATTCACTATTTTTTTCACTAGCAAATCATGATATCAGAGAAGAAAAAATGCCTAGCAAACGAGGTCCAAGTTTAACTGATCCAAAACAACGTAATTGCAATCAACTGATGCCAACTTGATCAAAATAAGAAACTTGGTGTCTAAGCGGCAATACAACAAAAACATCGAAGGGCAAAGTAATATTAAGAGCCTCGCAAGTGAAAATTCACTATTTTTTTCACTAGCAAATCATGATATCAGAGAAGACAACATCTCCAATTATCCATCATTTTTCAACATTCATATAAATCTTTAAGCATAAAACAAAAGGCACATGGAATCACTTTAAGAGAACTACTTCCACATTACAGAAGGTAACATTGATAAACAATGCATGAAGGTGTCAAAATGATAACAGACTATAGAAAAGCGATCGTCCACTACCTACAACTATAAGCTGAAGTTTTATTTTTGGTGGGTCCTAAGGGCATCCATATCCAAGTCAAACAAACCACCATCAAGTGAAAAAAGAAAAAGAAGACATGAATCATAAGTGGGAACGCGTAATCAGGCCAACCATGCTTCTATACCTAATCAGGGGACGCATATCACATGAATCATACACATGAACAAGGACATTTGAAATGCACTTCAGAGATGACAGAGGACAATGAAAAAAAGGACAGATCGGAGACTCAATGCAAATCACAATAAAAAAAAAACTGAATGATGCACTTCGAACTAGCTGGAGCTTACTGTAGCTCGGAGATGCTGAACGGCGACCAGGTCGACGGTGGGAGGGAGGACGCCTCAAGAGAACAAGGACCACACACCAGAGAGAGCACACGGGAGAGAGGACAGGCGAGATTGTTGCCGCTGGCTGTAGTTGAAGACGGTGGACGGTGAGAAGCTCGACGGTGGGAGGACGACGGGAGAGCAGAGAGAGGAGACCAGATTAGTTCACTCGCGAGGGAGACCAGATACAACTCTGGAAAAAAAAAATGAAAACGTAAATGGGGAGGGCAATATGGGATAAATGGGTGAAGATGAAGTTCTCTAACAAAATATTGTTATTGTAACGGTAAATTTAAAATGGATCAAATAAGTGCATGAATTATACGCCTGCCTGTTCTTATCTCAAATATTTATTTAGTAATGTTTTCCTTTTTCAACACATTTTCCGAGATTTTCAACTTTATTTGACTTCTTTTTATTTCATCATAAAGTTATTAACTTTCAATTCAATATTTTTCAAACCATTTTAAGTATAGTTATCTATTAATTATCTTAAATTGTTTAAATTGGGGGGGAGAGAAAGAAAAAATGATAGAATATTTAAAAAAATAATTTTAAGAAGATTTAGCCAAAATATTATATCACAAAGTTAAAAACCTGAACTAAAATAATGTATTATTTTAAAAAATAGAAAGGAGAGGCTCTTTATATCTTTATATAAAGATGAAGAAATGTCAATGTATTTTTTAAAAAAAAAAATAGTAAGTAGAGGCATTAAGAAGCAACGCAATTGGAATTTGAGCAAGGTCTTAGGTTCATGTTCTATTAGAGGGAATTAAGATGTATTTCCTCCGTTTAAAAATGTAAGGTATTTTTTGAAGAGTTGGATGTTTAAAAATGTAAATTTTTAGTTTTTCAAGGTATAATCATGTATTTTTTTTTTAAAGTACCCCTATTAATAATAACTTTATATTTATTGTAGAGTGTTTAATAAAAATAAATATGAAAAGATAGAGTTAGTTAAAAAGTAAGTAATTTCTTTATTAGAGGTAAGATTCAATTAGAAATACCTTACATTTTTTAACAAAGGGAATATATATTAATTAGATATCTACTGGATGATGAAATAATTAATTATTGAAAAACACGTATCAAATTATAGATTTGGATCCTCTTCATATGATCTTTCTCTCAATACTTGCTTTCATACTCAATTGCATCTATCCATTTAATTATTTATTTAATTTAATGGCAAAAGATGTTAATTATGAAAGTAAAATAAATATATTATTCACTTAATGACTACCTTAAAGAAGCATTATGATCTTATTTTCAAAAGTATTTAAGTTATGTAATGAATAATATATTTATTTTAATGTCTTAATTAGTAATCTTATATTATTAAACCCAAGTATAATTAATTAAAATGGATGGATAATATTGAATATAAAAGATGTATTGAAAGAGAGTACGAAGAAGATCCTAATCCTCAAACGAGTGATACTATCAAAGGAATCTCTATGCTCGAAGGTCCAAGTAGCCAAGACTTTCGCATATAATTTTATTCCATATAATATCAATCAATTGTTCAAACTCGGACCAAATACAATGATCAGCGTCACGCATGGTGCACATTTTTTTAAGAAATAATTTGTAATCCAATACTAACAAGTAAATCGAATTTGAACTGTATCGAGTTTCAACCATAAGAAGTCTCTAATAATACACGCACGTTTATAACTTACGCTTGAAAAGCAATCCACTCGGAAATGGAAGAAAAGAATAAATAATAGATGATAAGTAGTGAATGACAGTATATTATTTGAACTCAAAATATTAAATTCAAGTTAGTAAGTACTTTCATTTTACTGTATACATTATTTATTAAGTTTAACCCTATTTTTTTAACAGAAAAGAGGCCATTTTAATAATATTGAAAAACAGAATTACACACACTAATATTCAAAACAAAGAACAAGAATGCAGTAAACCTGAATACAATGTGAGACATTTCACACTTATTTAAATCCACTTACATTTAAATATCCTAATGTTAATTACACGGCAAAACTAGATGGGTGCGTTGAGTACGTGTGGCTTTCAAGATATGTTTCTTTGATATCTATGCACATGCTTAATTCTGCAGTATACATTGTCTTTTAAACCGAAGAAATTAAAGCCATCATTAATTTGAATCATATAAAAATTAAATATGTGAATGCATATATGCCTGCTATTTTTTTAACCATGTTAGTGTGTTAGTGGGTTAGCTTTATTAGCATACACCTTTTTATTATATTGTTTTTAAGTTTTGTGAGAATTGCCGAACCTTCTCATTTCAATGGATCTGAATGATAGGGATACACTCGTATATAATAATTTAATTACCACGGCCAAAAAAAAAATGTGTGGGAAAGTCTTAGCCATTCAAACCACAAAAGAAAATATACATAACATCCTTGCATCAAAGGTTTTTGTTATTTGACTATTCTTATATACTTAATTTTGCTAGCTTCGGTCTATGGTTTACATTGAAAACAATAAAACAGTTAAAATATTCAATCCAATGTTTTTATATATCCTACCTGTTCTTAATATAAAATAAATTTAACAAATTCCACGTTTGTTAAAAAAATATAGAAAATACTCCCTCCACACCACAATATGTAACATTGTTTAGAAGTTATATTTGATTCAAAATATAAAATATTAGGTATAATTGAAAAGATATAAATTTTTTAAGAGATATAATTGATTAATGTTTCACTTAACTTTTTTTAGAACCTTGAAGTTGATAATTTAACTATGCCTTGTATTGTAGTTTAATTTAGAGGGAATATGTAAATTTTCTATTGTGCTCTTCTTTGCAATTACTAAACATATTAAATTATTGTCTAGATTCAAATCATAATAAATGAACAAGATGCAAAATTTTAAAAAAAATTAATTATTCTAACTTTATTTTGTAATGAAAATAAGTTAAAATATACATTTAGTCCTTTAACTTTACATAACATTTTATTTAATTTTTTTTAGTTTTATAAAGTATTTTTTTAGTCTTTTCACCCTAATACGGTTAATTTTGTCTCAATAAAGTTTTACATTGAACTTTTAAATATTGACAAAACATTCTCAAATGTTGACATATTAAATTTAATTTTTTTTAAATAACAATGATTGATATAAAAATAATAATTTGAAACTAATGATGTTAGGGTTAAAAGATTAAAAAGTTACTTTACAAAATTAAAGGATCAAATTAAAACCTTATACAAAGTTAGAGGACTAAAATTATACTTTAATATTAAAAATTAAAAAAAAAAGCTTTTGAAATTTAACCTTATAGTAAGGACTGGAGGGAGTATGTGGGATCTATTTTTACTGTTTCATTAAAATTAATTATATTCAAAAAGTAATTAACATAACCAAAGTTAACATGTAATAGTTAAATGGGTTTGCCGGACATCCTAATGATGATCAACCACTGTCGCGTAATCGTAATCTTGTAATTAAGAAAATATTATCTAATACAGTTCTAAAACCTCTCAGTTTTGTTGATAAAAAAAAAAGCGAGAGGTTTTTTTTTTTTTAAACGATTCTCTACTACTCTCTAAAGCTTTACTTTATGCACAAAATTCTCTTTGACATGAAATCACGTGTATGTAAGGGCGTATTTTTTTTAATAAAAAAACTGTTTTCTATTTTTTTAAAACAAAATAAAAAATTGTTTGGATAAATATTTTGAATTTAAATATTTTCAAAAATATTTTTATTTTTTAAAAAAGTAGAAATAACTTAGGGCTATTTTATTTCATTTTTTTTAATTGTAAAGTACACTACATATGACAATTGTAAATTATCTTTAGCTATATTCAATCATTATCATAAACCATTATAATTAACTACTAGCAACCATCACTATCCGCCACTTTTTAACTCTAAAATTATTTTTAAATTAACATAATCAAATGATTTTTATTTTGTTTTGTTTTGTTTTGAAAAATGATTTTTAAAAAATTGGTTTGTAAAATAATTTTTAAAAATTAAACAACAAATGAAAAAAAAAACCAAACAAACCCTTTATCTCCTTGCTAATATGTCAAAATAATTTCATTTGTAAAATTATACACGAATTAATAGTGAATAGTTTTTTATGAATGGAAAGCACTACTTGAACAAAGGAGGAGAGAAGAACAAATGGACAAAAGTAATGAAATAATATTATATCTTAATTCAAAACTTTAAGTAAAGCTAAGCTCGACAGACGATCCATTTGAACACATTTTTATAAGAGTTCAATCTTAAAAAATCAAAGATTTTTAGTATAGTTGGACTTTTAGGTTTAGCTTTGTTAGGCCCTGTAAAACAGGCTTAGCCTTGAGTAGTCCTCTAAGCTCTTATTAATTTTTTCAAAAAAATTACATTAAAAAATTAAAATTGAGAAAGCATGAATGTTTTGTAATTCATTTTTCAAGTTAGTTTGTGAATTAAAATAAGATTTGTGGCCATAAGCCCCATCCGCCATTTGTTTCCTTAGTCGTTTGTTGTTTAAAATGTTCTTGCGATTGTATGATATTGTGAAACAATTATTGATTTGATTCTTTGATTTGTCAAACAAGTTTGGGAATGGAATATAATATTTGATTCCTCTAACTTTTAATTTAAATTTAAATTTAAATTGTCATGGGTATATTGGTTGTGCTAGTGGTTATGTGATGGAAGACTATTATTTTTATATATATGACCACCTTGATGAATTAGGAATTAGTCCTCATCCTATATATATATATACACAATTTATACATGTATATTCAAGTGATTAACATGTAAAAAATTGATTTATGATTGTGATATTGACTATCAAGGATCTAGATTTGTTTTGTTTAATTTAATTTTTAAAATATTTTAATTAATTTGTAATGTTATAATATTAAACTTTATTTTTAAAGAATTGAATTAATTTTTTAAAAGAAAATGGCTTACAAGCCTAGCCATGAGCCATTTAAATAAAAGTCAGGTTTCATAAAGTAATTAAATTTAAGAAGATTGGGCTTATGGACTTGTACTTGTAAGGGCTAAGGCTTTAAAGGTTAAGCTCATCCATTTCTCAGCTCTAACTTCAATATTTAAGTTCATAGCTCTTCTAACCCTGTTTTATATATATATATATATATATATATAAGTTATTAAACTTTATTTGATATATATGCGACTTCTTGCATCGATTCAGATTCACTCACATCTAAACAATTGGCATTATTATCAAATAGTATCAAAATTAATAAAAAAATTAAATTTTGTAGTAAAGCACAACCTAAGTTGTCTCCCTAAAAGTCAATAAAATAACTATTTAAATTATAATTATGAAAAGCTAAAAATTGAGGTTTTTTTAATAATGAAATTAATTAAAAAATATAAATCAAAATTAGATAAATAAAGAAAATTTAACTGAAAAAATTATCAAGAACAAACAACATAATCAATCACAATCAAATCACCTAAATTTAATCTTCCTCGTCTACAAATTAAATTAATTTTATTTAACTTTATTATTTTAGTTTTATTATATATTTCTCAAATTATCATTCAAGAATTAAATAAAAAATTAAGTTATAGATTAATTAAAATTTTCTTTAACCCACAACTTAACAATTATTCTAAGTTAGCCACACTAAAAACAAAATATGAATAATCATCCAAGCTAGGCCAAATTACTCTTATATTACTATATCAATCAATTATAACAACCAAAACCTTAGATAAAATTTATAACGTAAAAATTATGTAATAAAGTTATTCTAATCAATAATAGCAATTAAAACATAAAATTTAGAAGTAGCAAGAATAAGAACAAATTGAAATAAAGTTAAAATAAATTTTTTTTTGAATATCAAATAAAATTTAGGATCATAGTTTGTAATTAATTACACTAAAAAAATTAGTTATTTATAAAACTAAAAATTAAAAAACATGAGATAAAAAATTGACAAGCTATCACGAAAAATTGAAGAAAAAGTGAACCGCAATCGCTGCTATGCTGTTTTTTTTTGTGATGCCTCCGTCCTGATATATCCAATTCGTTTGTATTAGAAGCCATGTGGTATGTGTCGTACGCCTCTTCCTAATTAAAACTTAATAATTTAATAAAAAAAATAAAACTATCCTAAATAAAAACTACACTAAATTATCCAAGATAAATATAAATGAAATTTTTAAAATTTAATTCTTGATTTGATCTCTAAGCATGTCCATATTCTTCTTATCCAAAATATTCTCTATCAACATCTTTCAAATTGAATCTAAAAAATTTGCACAAATAAAATAAAATTAAATAATACCTGTGCAAAAATATTAAAAATATTATTCATATTTTAAAATCAATGATTTAGTTAGTTAAAATTTTAAAACTAAATATTGGCTAATAAAATTAAATAATATCTAATTAAACTCAATTAGTCTCAAATAAACATTTAAAAGTCTAAATTAAAAGGATAAAAGTATATAAAATTGTTATTTATCAACAATCAAATAGTTTAATTTTCTAAACATGTTTGAGATGGTTCATTGTCTAAGTTTGAAAACAACAAAGTTTATTTTCCTTTTGTTTTTTTTGGCCGAAAGACAAAGTTTATTTTCATATGTAAGCTAAAATTCACATGTGTTTGTGCGTGTCTAACTGTCTCTATACGTGTGTGTGTGTGTGTGTGTGTCACAATTAATTAACCTCAGCATATCTATTATTTAAGTAGTAGTAATTAATAGATAAACCTGACAATATATATATATATATATATATATATATCTTGCCTTGACAACCTCACTTGATCTGTAAATCTAATAATTAACTAGTAAGATCATTGGGAAGGACTGCTAGAAGCATCTAAACATTACATTACATGGAATAAAGTAGCTGAATAGTGAAGCAGATTTTGAAATAATTAATGGCAGAAAACATTTTAAACACAAAAAAATAATTTGTTGTTGCAGTGCCCATCTAGATTAGTTAGATTTAATTAATAATAGACCTAAACTTTGAAAAAATGTGATTATCATCAAGTTGATCGACGTCTCAGGTGTGGGTAGGCCGAGACTAGAGGTATTAGAGGCGTAAGAGTGTTTTTTCCCCAGTTTGGGTGTCGGCAGAAATATCTTATATAGCTATTTCAATTTAATTGAATTTTAAAACAAATTAATGTCGACAGGCTCGAAATTAATTTTAGAGAATTTGTTTTCAAAAAATACGTAATATTAATTTTAATTAGTGGTGTAGTGCTCGTTACAGGGCCTGTGAATCTCCGTAATAACTAACACGAAGCTGAATGTGTCCCCCTGGCCCCGGCGGACTTCGTAAGCCACAAGTCAGTTTCATTTGACCTTATATCATTATTTTCAAATTCTTCGATCAAAATATAATAATTATATAATATTTTAATAATGATATGATGGAGCAATTGTAATTTTATAATAGAATGCAAACTAGCTGGATCCACACACACATATAGATGTATGTATTAATTATGAAGACCTGACTCAGAAATGAACATGCTCATATCTCGTCAAAAAATGGAACTTGCTATGTAAGTTTTATGCATGCGGCATTGATTGATAGTGATAATAGCATGAATTTTTAATTAAAATTCAATAAGTATACAATATTATCTACAATTACATGAATATCATGATTTGATTACAAAATTTAATAATAAAAAATATCATAAAGTTCTCATAATTTTATTCTTAAATTAAATTTCTTGCTGTATAAAGATTGTCCAAATTTTGTAAAGTTTCTCATGAACGAATTGTAAGCGTCACGTGTGAAAACAAAACAAAAATATAACATGCGTTCACAATAACTTAAGTAAGTAAACATGTTTTAAGTTTTAATAAGCATTGGATGAAGCTTAATGAATAAGTTACATTATTTATCACTTCTAAGAGATTTGGTGTAAATTTTATTGCATGTGTTAATATAATGATATATTAATTGATGAGACGATCGTCATAACAATTGTATTATTTTTCCTCTGAAAGGGATGTGTAGAAGATGAGGAGCATACAAGGCTTCTCATATTGCACATATTGTATATCTAGTAATAATATTAACATTTACAAACAATAGAAAGATCATTTTTGAAATATCCTATTTATAAGGTAGAGAGAGAAAAATCATTTTTATCCTAATCAAAAATATGTTATTTTGATTTTTTTATCACAAATATTTTGTTTTACTTCCATTAATGATGTTGATGAGAGAGAGCATGTTATTAAAATGTTTATATGTGATAAGAATAAAATTAAAAAATATTAAATATTTATAAAAAAATTATTGAATTTTAAAACATTTATTGATTTTGTTAAAACATGTCGAAAGACAATGAGAGAAAATACAATAATACAGAGCAGCGATAACATGGGATTTAAATTTTATGGGCAGCCTAAATTTACTGATTCAATGAAAATTTTAATTACAGTGATTAAATTTTATCGAAAGAGTGAATTTATACTATAAAGTGCAGATGAAATGAGAAGTGATAAATGGGAGGTGGTGGGAATTGAAAGCATGTTTGGCGTGTGGGGGTTTGGCCGTACGCGGGGCGTGTGAGACTGGCAAACCGAACACGTAGAATACCCCTTCCCTCCATTTTTATACCATACGCGTCCCCATTCCCACAACATGGGAACTCCCAGCTCTTCCATTCCATGCATGCCTGCCACGTGTCTCCTTCCCGCACTTCACTTTCATTATACCATTTTCAACCTTGTCATCTAATCGCTACTCCTTCAATCATCATACACACATATATATATAGGCATTGGATCATACATCAGATTATTTTTTTTAATTTGATTTTTAAATTTATGGTTCCCAGGCCTCATATATAAAAACACCAGAGCTTGCATCGGTTTGCATATATATATATATATATATATGAAAATTAATATGAATATTTTAGCCCGGTGTATTAATTAATTAAGCCAGAGAGGGGGATTGAAATCCCGTACAATCACAAGTTGGTTTCATTTAATGAGCGGCACTATGAATGGGTGGGGCCAAATCTTTTTGCCGCCCCATGAGGGTGAGGTTGGGGTGGATTGTGTATTCCTCGTATGACACTCAGGAACCCGGTCGAGTGTATTTGACTAGTAGGCCCACCTTTTTGCTCTTCTCTCCTATCCCCCTTCATTCCCAGGACCGACCATTTTTCAATTACTTTTCCACCCTTTCTTCTCTTTTTTCCCCCCATATTTCTCCTGTTAATCTCATAATGTTTTACATGTTTACCACGCTCCTATTTTAATTACGCGCATCATCTATAAAATCACCATTCCGGTTTACTTGTATTTTGCTTTCACATCAAACAAACTACACTAATATTGCATTCCAATCATAAAATTCACATATACGTATTCTTTTAATCTGGCTATATTTTTTAAAAAAATAACAATAAGATACGTGTATAACCAAAACATTGTCATTATAATTAGAAAATTACATATTGTTTTGTTTTTATTAAAATATAAACCGATCGATAACACAGAGACTGGATATACGTTTTTTTTTAATTAAAAAAATTAATATTTTCATAACATTTTATTTCGAGGCTAGAGTTATAACTAGTCTTTCAATCAATCATGTATATTTTTGAATTAGCTGAGTCAAACATGTCATGTAACACGCTGGATTGACACGAGAAATTCAGTCATTACACTCATTTCTTTCTTTGACGGTCGGCAGGGGAAGGCTTTGAACTTCAAACTAGACTCTTGCTATATATGGCTCTCGCCTCTGCCTATAAATACCCACTTTCTTTCATTCTCTCTGCACATAATCACTATAACAACTAAATCGAATATCTCCTTCAATCTCTCCCTCCTTGACCCAAAACACACTGATCCTTGAGTCGTCTTCTTCAAAGATGGGTTTGGGAAATGACATGATGAGCCATCGGCTTCTTTCAAGGATGGCTGTGAATGACGAGCATGGAGAGAACTCTGCTTATTTTGATGGATGGAAGGCTTACGACAGAAACCCATTTCACCCCACACACAATCCTCACGGGGTTCTCCAGATGGGTCTCGCAGAAAATCAGGTTTACACATGTACAGTTCAGATATTATATCACTATGATTCCAAGTTGTTTGATATATTGACTGACTCGTCCATATGTTTTTGTTGTCATTTACTTCCACTCAGCTCTGTTTCGATCTGATAGAAGATTGGATGAGGAATCATCCGGAGGCTTCCATTTGCACTCCTGAAGGACTACACCACTTCAGAGATGTTGCCATCTTTCAGGACTATCATGGCCTTCCCGAGTTCAGAAAGGTACGTATATATTTAGTGATCATGAATTCATGCTTATACACAGATTCTATAGCCTAGTACATAGTTGGATGAATAAAGTTGCTGATAAGAAATTGGGTTATTGTGTTGTGTGTTGTGTGCAGGGGGTGGCAAATTTTATGTCAAAAGTGAGAGGAGGGAGGGTGAAGTTCGATGAAGAACGTGTAGTGATGAGTGGAGGGGCCACGGGGGCTAATGAAGTAATCATGTTCTGTTTGGCTGACCCTGGAGACGCTTTTCTCATTCCCACTCCTTACTATCCAGCGTATGTACCCCTCTCTTTTCTATTATGTCGTCATCCATCGCTTCTTCATTCACATTCAATGTATCTTTGCTCCCACCCTCACCCAATCAAGGGTGGCACAAAAGGGAAAGGAAAAAAAAAAACACAAGAAAAGAAGCAAGTGAATGTATTCTTATTTGTTAATTGATGACTACTTATTTATCATCTATGGAATTCAGCCTTAAGTCATCAAATTGGTCCAAAAGATACTTTCAAGTAGGAATTGATTCAACGGATTATATGTATACAAGCCAACAAACTTGTGGGGTTTTATTTTTTAAAGAGGCTTTTTGTAAATATAATCTATATTATAAAACCAAACCAAGCAAATAGCTTGACATTAATTATATTTTGTATTATAGCCGATTTATTCACTACAACATTTTTACTTCATAACAATAATTTAAAATTATTGCTATAATTATGAAAATTGATGCTTTTGACTTTAGGCAACATTTTTCAATTGTTTCTAACTGTTGCCTTAGAATATGATAATAGGCAACGGTTAGTAATTATTGTGTAAAGTTAACATAAGCAAAATTTAATATTTCCTTTCCTGCTTAAGATTTGAACTTTGAAAATTTGGCTGCAAGTCTAGCCTTTAACCACTCTTTTAACATTAGTATTGTGTTATCTATTACAAAGTTTTATATATAGAGATAATTTTTAAAATAAATTTTGAATGTATTTAATAAATAAAATATTAAATTAATTAAATAATAAATAAAGTAATAAGAATATGTTAAAAACTGAATAAAAATGAAAGTAAATTATTTTTTATATAGGTAAATAATAGGCAACAATTCTTAACTATTGTGAAAAAGGAATATTTAAAGGTAACATTTATTATTTGTTACCTATTGAAATAGGGGATAGTTTTCAAATGTTATAATAAAAAAATATTTTGTAGGTAATAGTTGTTATATTGCTTATTTTAAAATTTTATTGCTGCAATTGAAAACTATTGCCTATTTCATATTAGAGTACAGTTTTTAAATATTGTCCAATAATTATTGCTTGCAGTGAGAATCAATAGCAACATATGAAAACCGTTGCTTATTCATATATAAGACAACATTTTTAGAATTGTTGCAAATCAAATCAAAAAATGTTGAATAATTATATTTGTTAATGATATACTGGTATACATTAATGATAAACCTTTTATAAATTTTTAAATTTTTATTGATAAATTTTTTGTATATTAATAAGAAATTCTTTATATATCAATATGAACTGATTACACTTTTAAATTTTTAAAAATTTGGTTCATATTTTTTTGGTACAAGATTTTTTTGGCCAAAGGGCCAATTTATTCCTTTTTAAATCCAAAATAGAGGACACCGAGAATAATATATTATGGACCCTAATTGTGCATTGGTCAAAATCAGAGACTTAGTCAATTGTCAGAATCATATTACTTTTAAGACTTGTCAAGCTTTGTTCATAAAATAATATGGTTTTATTCATACGTATTTTAAATTCTACTGCAGATATGCTCGTGATCTGTGTTGGCGAACTGGAGTGCGCATAATTCCAGTCCACTGTCATAGGTCCAACAACTTCCAAATAACTAAAGAAGCTCTGGATACAGCATACAAGAAAGCCCAAGAAGACAACCTCAACGTGAAGGGCTTGCTCATAACAAACCCATCCAACCCTCTAGGCACCACCTTAGACAGAGACACCATGAAGAGCCTCGTCACCTTCATCAACCAAAAGAACATCCATTTAGTGTGTGACGAAATCTATGCAGCCACTGTGTTCAGCACACCGAGCTTTGTAAGTGTCTCCGAGATCGTCCAAGACATGGAGTTCTGCAACAGAGATCTCATTCACATAGTTTATAGCCTCTCGAAGGACATGGGCTTTCCTGGCTTCAGAGTTGGGATTGTTTATTCATACAACGACACTGTCGTGAACTCTGCTCGCAAAATGTCAAGCTTTGGATTAGTCTCGTCCCAGACTCAGCACATGCTGGCTGCTATGCTGTCAGATGATGATTTTGTCGACAACTTTCTGGCAGAGAGCTCCATAAGGTTGGCTAAGAGGCACAGTTTGTTCACAGAGGGACTTGAGAAGATGGGAATTACTTGCCTTCCAAGCAACGCAGGCCTGTTCTGCTGGATGAACCTGAGAAGCTTGTTAAGAGAACAAACAGTTGAAGGAGAAATGCAACTATGGCGTGTGATAGTGAATGAAGTGAAGCTGAATATATCTCCAGGTTCATCTTTTAATTGCAGCGAGGCAGGTTGGTATAGGGTTTGCTTCGCTAACATGGATGATGAAACAGTGAAAGTAGCACTAAGAAGAATCCAAGCGTTTGTGGGGAAAGAAGCAGAGAAAGGAATGAATGTAGTGAAACGTAGGCAATGCATTAAAGGCCTGGGGATCAGCTTCTCATCATCAAAAAGATTTGATGAGAGTTGTGTTATGTCTCCGCACTCACCAATTGCTCACTCACCCCTCGTTAAAGTCACTTGAATATTAATGATCAGCAGATTAAATTTAATCATGGATCAATGTATCAGTGTACCGATATTAACATTCTACAACAAGTTGCACTACTCATTTATGTCATGAATATATTTTGCTTAGTCTAATGATGATTAACTCTTTGGTTAACTAAGTTATGTGTTTCGGTTCAGCTTATTACGGTGTATCGTTTTTTTTTTTTTTTTGGGTTAGATCAGATGTACATGTAGTTCTCCACCAGATCTTCTCTTTTCCCTTATGGGGTTTCCCTTCTTCTATTAGTCTTCTCTTTCATCTATTAGCTTTTAGACTACACAGAAAACACGAGAAAAATGAAAATCAAGTAAGAAAGAAACAGAAAGGAAAGAAGAATATTAAAAAGGACTCAAAGACAAGTAGGGAGAAGAGGGAGTACAAATTAGATTCTTATCACTGTACCTTTTCTCTTGATTTTTGTTAATGATTTCGAGAACAAATTAATTATATGGATTTTAAGACTAAAATATTTTTAATGTATTTTTAACAAAGTTCAAAAGAGAATTGTGTAATTTTTCAATATAACATTGCTATATATTTAATTCCTATTTTTATAAATGATTAAGGCTTACTTGAAATCTAAAACTCAAATTAATATCGACCTGGTGCATTTGCTTAGATATTGCACATATGAAGATTACATGAAAAGTGCATCAATATTGCATAAAAATTACATAGAGATTTAGATTTTTATTTTAAAAAAAACAGAGTTTAAAAGTCATCAAAAGAAAGGTGCAAAACAATTAATTCATAAAATAAAACAAATTAACACTCACATCAATAAATAATAAATTAACAGTACACATCTTATCCTATTTTTATTAATTAAAAAATCATCAATATATTTAATATCATAAAGAAATTATAAGAATATAAAGTCTAATTAGTCAAACAATGCATGGAAACCAAATTGTGAAGAGATGCTGAAAATGAATTATTGGTTGGGCCAATATATAAATAGCTATATAGAGCAGATTGTAAGATAAGATGACGCGGCGCGGAACACAGAAGAATGTGATGCAAGAGGAGAGATAATTAATGAAGTTGGAGATTGCAGCGTTCATTAATGAGAGGTTGAGATGTTTGTACTTGTGTTTGACAAATGACCGTCGAAACTTTTCCGACTTGTCCATTGTCGATCTGACGGTGGCCCCTCTCTTAGCTCTTAACCATGTTAATTAATTAATTTTCTGCATTATAATCTGGATTTCTCTGGTAATTCTGTAAAGGGAAAATTAATTAACATATAAAATGTAAGAATATGCTTAGTTGCACAGCCCCTCGAATTTGGGATGATATATATCAATATCTAATATGTGCTGTGAAAACAAAGAGAATGAATCAAGGCATCTTTTGAAACATATAATTGTATTAAATAAAAATATCAAGAAACATCTTTAAGATATTTGTGAGATTGTCATTAATAATAACAGTCTCACATAATAAAGATCTCAGCTATTGTAGGTAGTGGTAGAGCCACTTGGCGATGATGGTGAGTAAAAAAAAAATTACATATAAAATGTGTAAATTTTATAACTTTGTACCTCCTTTCTTGATATTTTACACTTTAAACTAAATAAAAAAATATTTATGCTCAACAGTTATTAGATAGATAACATTTTAATGATCAAAATAAAATATGAAGAAGATATATTTACATAAAAAATTATATTAACATGTTTAATATAATTTTTTAAAAAGAGAAATAATAATCAACCTACTTATGTTATTATAATTTTAATCTTAATATAATTATTATTTTTAAAAAATATTAATTTTTAATTAAATTATCTCGCATTCTATAATTTTGGATCCTGACTCAGTCACTAATTGTAAGCGAGTGGCTGCAAGAGAATACTCTCAAAGATTGTTAAAAATAGCGGGCGGTGCAATTAAAAAGGTCCGAGAACGAAAGTGAAGGCTGCATGTGAAAAGACACAGAATACTCTCAAAGATTGTTAAAAATAGCGGGCGGTGCAATTAAAAAGGTCCGAGAACAAAGGAGAAAGATTGAAGGCTCAAAAGAGAAGGCATGTGAAAATGACACATGCTGTTGCTTCCTCAAAGGAGCCAGTTTGTACGTGCGGCTTGATTAAATCAACCCTGGAAGAAAAAAGATATGATTTTTGGACCCCAAGTACTCCATCTCTGTCAGATCACGTGGATGAGATTAATTAAGATCCAATCATGACGAAAATCTCAGAAAAGACATTGATTAATGATCAACCCCTCATAATAAAGCTGGATCTTCATTGATGAGAGAGTCTCAATTCTCTGATAAGGGTGGACTGCTTGCTGGGTTTATGGGATCAGAAAATAATATCAAATGATATATATATATATATATATATGAGCTTAATTAGTTTAATTGATGTGGAGGTGGAGGTGACTTTGAAAGTGGAAAGGAGGTGAAACTATCGGATTAGGTGTTAATTAATTAGTTGCAGTTGAAGATAGGGTCGGGAAAATCGTAAAATGAAATCTGGCCAGCTGCATATGTAGGTCTAGCTCATCACTTGTATGTGATGCGTGATGGAGATTGATTAGGGTGGGGTGGGCGAGTGAGAAATCAAAGCTTGCTTGATTAGGATGTTTGAAAACAACACTTTACCAAACTAGAATCTTTTGGTGGGTAATCATATACTCTTATATGTGCAGCTCAATGTGGGGACATAACTTAGTCGGTTCCAGAGATCTACGTGCAAAATGTAGCTTCGTACATTCCCTGAAAAATCAAATTATTCAATTCTTCAAATTAATTTATCAAATCTGGTCCTGGCTTGTCATCGTTTCATCATTTAAAACTTTCAAGAATGTTCAAACCATGGCCTTTATTTTTTAACGGTCACAATTTTTGTCAAAGCTCTGACGACTTCTATTACACATTCATGCAATGCTTATTTCTCAAGCTTGGCGCACGGGCTATATGAATAGGTGAAACTCTTTTTTAGAAAATAAAAATAAAAATAGGAAATTAAACTTTTTGAATTCTCATTATAATTTATACTCCACTTCATTTTTATTATATGGAGAATGACATTTGGTTTTCTTATACGAGGTTAATCAATATTTAATTTAATCACTGCCACATTCTTGAAATGATCATTACTTCAAGTTTATTAGATTAGACTAGATATTGTTTCATTAATTATAAAAAAGAAACACGCAACTTGTGGGGGCCTTATTCCACGTTACAACCACTAGATAAAGAGTTTTGCATATTAATTTTAGTGAGCATATATATCGGAAGGCATAGAGCATCTTAGAATTAAGGATAGGAAAGAATAAGATTAATGTTTTTAGTGATTCAGTACAAATTCTTAAACTTATGTGAAATGCATATTCTTTAGATATAACAAATGGATTCCTAAATTGCTTTCTCTTCTCCAGCTCGATCGTAATGCCAAGTGTGTGTGTGTGTGTGTGTGTGTGTGTGTAACAAAAATAGTTAGCATATTCAACAATTATTTGTTCAAAGTTGGGATTTAGCTGTCTTTCACTTTTGAGTTCAATCATTCATAGTTTTATAACTATTAATAATTGAAACTATACCTCAGCATCGTCTACGGACGCAAAGCATCAAACTGATTTACATTTAGGATCATAAATATGATACCTAAACTTTAATCCTCCTACGATCTTAATCATTCAAAATATTGATCCTAGCATATTCAAAATATAACTTTAGTTAATTCTATTTTTATTTCCCAAAGTGTGGACTAATATTTCAAATAATTAAAACCATAGGAATTCAATTTCTTTTTAATTGATTCAAAATTATATTATAGAAACTGAATGATTATTTTTTTTTTCAAATATCATTAGAGATTTACCAAAACACAACTGCTCAAATGGATTTTGGCGGATCTTCCTAAAAAATGAGGATATTTCACCAAGCATGACTTGTGATGGCTTCAAGTAGATTGATTTTTAACCATTAATTGGTGTCAATAATTCTTTGGTTTCCAATATCCCTTATAATAAAAAATAAAACACCCTAATTAGTAATTAACATCATCATGGAGCGAACTATTTATATTCATATCCTATATATGAATGTAAAGTCATTTGCATAATGAGTTTGTATCCACATGTATCTGTCTACTTATCAATATTTTTGTTTAGTTTTCAATTTATGATGACATGATGGAAGTATGGAGATAATAGTTTGATGGCAATCTAGTGAGGAGTCAATATTTAAGATCAATAATTTTGTACTTGGATATTCGAAGTCAAGAGCAAATTGGTCTCTATTATTAACAGATTAGATTTATATGACGATGTAAAGAAAAGGCCAAATGTTAAACTCCAAAGTCACATAACCCACTTGCAATAATTTATATAATGGAGATAAACCTCTCGCCAATCAGTGTTGTTAGCCTTTCATTTCATATGTGACTTTCCTTTCCTTTTCCGATTTCAACATTTGGGAACTCATCTGCAAACTTATCTCGGATCAATCTTCTCCACTTCCCTCCAAAATTATCTTGCCAACGAAGTTTTTAACATTGCCATATATGTGTGTATATATATATATATATATATCAAGCTACACTGTTCATAGGATATGAAAACTAAAAAGTATGGTTTATTGTTGAAAAAAAAAAACGAAGAAAAGTATGGCTTACCTCAAATTCCATGCTATGCATGGAAAAAAACGTCATGTTAAAAAACATGGTCACAAGTCACAACCGCACCTATAATTATTACACATAATCAATATTTAATATGTAATATAAAGTTCAATTTTAAAAATTGGACCATTATATCAATAAGTTGTAAATAACATGGCTTTTCTTAAATGTCATCCAATGTATGAGAAATCGTGTCTTGTTTAAGAAAAACATGACCACCTCTACAGATAAAATAAACTATATAGTATAATCTATATTCTATATTATGCTCTCTCTGTTCCAAATTATAGGACACTTTTAAAGAAATTTCTCTGTCCCAAAATATAAGATGCTTTGAGTATATTAAAATTTTATTAAAT